CGTTCCGTTTCACGCGTGATGTGCATAATGTATCCTTGTTTATCCTTGTTTAAAATTTGGTGAGAAACAAGAACAAATGATGCATTATGCGCATCATGCGAGAAACAGAACACAGCCTACGTGTGTGTGTCAAGTGTGCCGGAATGGCGCAATTGAAATGGATCGATACAAGTAGACAAGTTGGCGTGCCACGCGTTGCGAAAGAATGCAAACAGGAACAGAACTGGCGGATAATGCGCGCGCGCGCGCGCACACACACACACACACACACCGCGCGCGCGCGTTTAATTTCAAATTTTGTTTCGAGACGAAGGAAAGGAGTGCCGTGTTAGCATCGTACATACTTGACTGCGTATTCTATCGTATCCGTCGTTCGAATATTTAAATTCGTCATTCGGTGCAATCGCTGAGCAACTTATCACATATACTGAAAACATTGACCCTGAGAGAGCGCGCTAATTGTTGTCTCTCTTTCCTCTTCCCTCTCTCTTCTGCACAATCCTACTCTGGTGACTGCAATTGACTGTAATGGTATACGCGTCTATTCCACTCCGCGAGATAATCAAGTCGATGGACTTTTAGTTTTATGCCCATATTATATCTGGTATTATCGCGTATAATTTTTTCGCGCATTCCGCGAGCTGGAACGGAGCTGGACCGGAGAAAGAAAACCACGACGAGGAGAGAGGGGGACGGGAGGGAAATGTGTCCGTTTGGATTTTTCGATGATGGTATCACGGGGACCGAAACCGACGTTTCGGACGGATTCGAAATCCCGGCATTCCCGATCGCGGCGGTGAGTAGACGCACGCGATACCGCTCCGCGGGGAGCGCCATGTGCCTGGTGTCATCTGTCATATAATTGTGATAATATAGATTAAGAGAAAAAACAATAAACAACTTGTCGAAAAAAAAGGTTAAAACGACGGCTGTTTTCTGTTATTTTCCGACTCGATCGATGTTTTTCGTTTATACGTATGTATGCCATGTATTGCGCTCCAACGCATCAACGATCGCCGCGGTCGATGATGTCAGATTTATATAAGAGTTTTATGTTATCAATTCACGGAAATGAGCTGAGCGGGCGCGATTGTAAGGCGCAAACAAGGCGAGTGAAATCATTGCGAGATCTTCCAACATATTTTTAAAGAATGCTCCCATCTGCAGGTTCGTTAAGTTAAGGTTTGTTAAGCGAGATATCCTCGAGAATATCTGCCATCTTTTTCTATTTATGACGTTACTATTCGATAATCAAATTGGAAAGTGCATCATGTCATCGCAATGCGAGAGATTGAAATAGGATTAATTTCGAAGTTGTGCCGTATATTTCAAGGATTTCATTACATGACTTTTTTTTAATGTAAACACAAGCAATGCAAAATATGTAAATTGTTATGTTACGAGTTTTATAATTGTTAATATATCTGACCTCATTTTGCTAAATAAAGATATACGTGTAAGCGAGACACAGAAGCTTTAGTGCAATTTAATGCAACGACAAGGAATTTAAGGCGACGACAGGCTTCGATAATTCATAAATTGTTTACATAGATGACGTACGTAAGACATGTAGTTTACATTGTACATGCATAGATTGTTACGCAGAATTCTGATTAATTGAAAGAAATTTTGAAATTTCGGCCGTGCCGCGGAGCTGACTCTGAAAATGACAAGCAGGTTCTGACAAGCCGCAGTCGGCGCGGCGAGACGCGCGTCACAAGTCACAAGTCACAATGAAATTGGCTACGTTTACACTGGCTACGTTTACACCGTGCATTTAGGCCGCGACCTATACAATAGATGTCCTTGTTTATCCTGTATATTAAACAAATACATCTATCATATAGGTCACGGACTAAGCGCACGGTGTAAACGTAGCCACTGTACGTTTAGTCCGCGGCCTATATACCAAATTCAATCTAATTTAGGTCACATTATTTAGGCCGCATGCTGTAAACACTACTATACCCTGACCCGACCTGTTGTAGGTCAGTCCGGATTTTTTAGCGCCCTCACCTAAAATAGGTCGTCTACTTTCTCGGTGTAAACGCACGACTGACCCGACCTAAAAGCTTCGTAGCCATTTGCTCGGTAGGACACTGCTGTTTTGTTGAATAGTTAGGTTAAACCGATTTGTTATTTACTTCTAGACTGTGAAAAGACTAATTGATTTGTGCAAAGAACATAAATATTAAAAAAAAAAGATGGAAAAAAGTTCATGCAGCGATTCAAGTTCGTAAGTACCAATGCCTTTGCTAATCAAAATAATACAAATAATGATAATTATTTAGAATACGGGCCTCATCTCTGATTTTGATGAAATTGGGCTCATTTGACGCAGCGTTTTCACTTAAAATGAAAGAATCTGGCAAAAATGCGGCGATCGGCCTCGCGAACCGAGATATTAAGCATTAAAGTTCGAGATTTTAGAGGTTAAGATATCTGTCATCCCGACTCAATATAGCGCTATGTATACGTTCTGGTGAGTACGATGCTGTATATGGAAATAATCTGTACAAAATACGATAGATGGTTCTAATTCGGACCAGCGTGGACTAAATATGACCCAACTAATTTTTAAGTCCCTTTCGGTGTAAACGGTTGGTGACTAGACCTACTTTGGGTCACGATATAGGTCAGGTCGCTATCAGTCGTACGGTGTAAACGTAGCCATTTGTCCGTTGGCGGTTTTCGAGTCGAAGCTGCCTCGACTGCCTCGACTGCCTCGAGTGACGTACGCGAAGGTGTCAGGGTCGCAGCAGGTTTCTTAACAGTGACCTCAAGGCAAGGCCTTATTGAGTAAATACGGAGCGCGTAAGTACATTGGCGCAAAGTTAACGTGATGAGTCTACTGTGCAACCGTACGTTAAAACACCGATATCAATATTTGTCGAGCGTGTACTTCTCTAACGGGCAAATCGCGATTAGCGTGACGTGCAGTTGAAAACAATTACGATTCGCCAGGTGTTTAAGCTGCACGGAAAAAGGATTGTATATCTACATTATACAATACAGTTGAAGTTTGAAGCGTTGTTGGAGCGAATAATCAATCAAGTTCCAAAATGAAGATGCAGTACCTATATTGTCATACAGCTTAAAAGCTTAAAAGCTTTAAGCTGCTATGTACATTTAAATTTGAGATACGTTTTATGTTTAAGAAACGAGAGAGAATAATGATTATCTTTACTATTCTTCTCATTTCAATTATCATTTGTAAAACTAGAAACTAAACTATTTTCTTCAAGCATTCGAAAATTTACCAACCTAACCAAGACTTGTCTTTCCATGTTAATTTAGATGCCGAAAAATAAAGAAAATAGCAAGCGAAAGAAGCAAATGGAGGACGAGGGCGACGAGGATTATCGAAAGCGGCGGGATCGGAATAACCAGGTAATCTATCAGTTTTGCATATAAATTATTCACGTTATTTGTATATGTATACTATCATTGTTGTTCCTGCGCTGTTCGTAGGCTGTGAAACGATCGAGAGTGAAGAGTAAATTACGTACGCAACAAACCTTGGAACGAGTAAATCAATTGAAAACGGAAAACGAATTGTTGGAGGAGAAAATTAAAATGCTTACCAAGGAGCTTGGATTTCTCAAGGACCTCTTTATTGCACACGCAGGTATATATCGTTGGGACAGATTATTATTATTATTATTAAACTGTTAAATCTTTTGATATATATCTTACAAACAGTTTGTAAATTATTAGATATTTAGATAATTTCTATCTTGTGCTTTATCTCTGATATATGTATGTATGTTGTAATTGTAACAACACACGTTCATTATTTGTTAAAAAAATATTAGTCAAGTATACGTCACAGATTTTACTATTTTACTTTTAGGAGGTTCTAGTCAACACTCGATGAACATTCAAGATCTAGATCTGAATTCTCTCCTGACGGAAGAAAAACCGACGGAAGAAACATCGGTTATTAAGACGTCAGTTATTAAATCGACTACCAAGCTATAAACCTATATAAGCTCCACGTGAAGAAATCAGCGTGGTATTAAATTTGAAACGCGAGACAGTATTTGACTCGCTCGATCAAAACAAAGGAAGGGGACATCTTGGAAAGATGTTCACTTAAAATTCTTTGAAAAAGAGATTCTAGACGTTCTATGCGAAGAGCGTTTTCCGAACGTAGGTTTTCCAAGTTGCAGTGCATCGTCAGTGAATTATCGTCGGTTAAAAAATTTACAACTTGTCGAAAACTGATGGAGGCGAAAGTGATCGAACTGTCGCATACAACTCACAATAAATTTGAGTACAAAAGTATTCATTAATTATTGTTAGTCAGTGGAGAAAAAGTAATCTAAACGGTACAAAAAAATAGCACCAATATGTACATGTTGCAAATATTAGAGCATTTTTATACATAGGTCGTCTGAAAAGTTTTGAGCCTTAACATGAAGATGGCATTACTCGTCAAAACAATTTTGGTACTATAATCGTACATACTTTGAAAGATATCTGCGAAAATTGTAGCTACTTCCGGCGCTTAGTTGTTGTTTGACAGTCATTTGTGCCAGTCAATGTCAATGTTTTTGTAAAAATGGAAAAAATCGAGCAGTCGCCATGATAAAAATTCACGAATTGCGGTTCGAATTAATTGACCATCTACCGTATTCACTAGATCTGGCCCCCAGCGACTTTTTTCTGTTTCCTAGGCTCAAAGTTTGGCTCGGAGGACAGAAATTTTCATCGAACGAGGAGGCCGCATCCGTAGACGCCTATTTTGCAAAGCAAGACGCTCAGTATTATTTGAATGGATTAAAGGGGTGGGAGCATCGCTGAAAAAAATGTATCGACTTAAAAGGAGACTATGTGGAAAAATAAAATTGAATTTGACCGAAAAATTACTTGTTTCTATGTTAGACTCAAAATAGATCATTTAATTCCCTTCATTTTTGCTTTAGATTATTTTGACGTATCTCTCACCTGTGTTAAACTATAATGGAAAATGTAAAAACGCTCTTTCCAGTCGGTTCCAAATCGGACCATCCCCTGGTTTAGATTGAAAACTCTTATTTTTATGGATTTTTAGATAAAATTTTAAAATATTTTAATGTATTT